CAGACCAACGGCACTCATGGTGACAACAATAACTGACAGCAGCCCCCGCCCCAATGCCTCCACTGTTGTTTCGTTCCCCCTTCAGAGAAAGATAGCGGCGACGCTCTACCAACAAGAAGTCGACCGCATCCACGCCGCGTACGAGACGGCCATCGAGCAGGTGTGTAAGCAAATGGAAATGGAAATGGAAATGTGTGTCGGTTGAGAAAATAGGCATACAGTAGCAGAGAGACCACACCGTTCGAGATAGAGAATGCCACATTCGAAGGAACGTGTTGTTGAAGTTTTACGTGAGAGTTTAGAAAAATATGCTGGATGCTGTTTTTGTTTTGTTTTGTGTGTGTATGAAACGGCGCATCCGTGTGTTGACGGGCAGGAGAGCTGTAGCACTGAAAGTACAGCGTACACGCGCACCCTTTTCGTGTTTTCTGTTGCTCAAACAGAACTTGCGTATTTCTTCAGAAGATTGTGAGTCGTGCCCTTTGCACATGCTTGACCCCTACGAGCGAAGCATTAGCAATTAATTCACAATGTTGTGTGATGGATGACCTCTACCTGTGTTTTCTACGGTGTTTTTTTTTTTTTCTCGTTCTAGAAGTTTCTTTTGCGACGCTCGTTTTCTCTTTTCGCTCTCCGCGGTTGCGCAGACACGGGAGAGACTTCTGACAGAGGCAAACGAGGAGATCAGGAGGTCCAAGAACGTTATGGAGGGCTTCAAGGAGGGTGAGTGGTGGTGCAAGACATCAAAAGGGCCGGGGGTGCTGTACCCCACAAAGACGCCACGGCCATAGCCATCAAACCGCGTAGACTCTCGCATCCCCGTGCACGAAACCGATCAGGGACTACTAAGCACGATAATGTTGTCTCTTCGTGCAGCCGCGCTACAGTATCTCACACACGTTTCTTTGCCCGTTGGAAGTATTTGGCTTGTTGATCTTCGACATTATTTCCCCGCCCTTCGCCCTTTGCACCACGCGCTGCTGCTACCCGTGAGACCCTTCAACAACTCAATGTATCTGCCGCCTCAACAGCGGAGTTGTTCGGACCTCTTGTGTGCGTTACATCGCTGATCGGCTCTTTCCCCTCTTGCTGTTCCTCCCCCCCCCCCCCCCCCCGAAGGAAGGACCCGAATGAAAAAAACGGCCGGGGGGAATGGGCCCTGGCCTTTTGCCGGGGGCTTGGGGGGACGCCCGCCCCAAACTTTAACCCCTGAAAACCAAAAACACCAAGGGGAAACCGAAAGGGAAAAACCTGGAAAAACCCCGGGTTCCTTTTTTTCCGGGATTCCAAAACCAAGGGGAAGGGGAAAAAACCCCTTTTGAATTTTTTTTGGCCATGCCCGAACAAATTGTCCCCCCCCCCTGGGAAAAAGCCCCGCTTGGTGGAAAACCAAATGCCCCCCGGGTTTTTACCCCCCCCCCCCGTAAAGGACCGGGGTTATTTTTTTATTTTTGGGGGTGTTG